TGGGCACGTGGAGGATGCCAGTGTCATCTGTGCAGGTGGGTGGGCAGTGAAGGCAGCTGAGTCTCCTGTGGAGCTTATAGCCTCCCCCAGTGTCCCCATTCCCTCCTCCCTGTGATCCCCATCCTGACACCCTGTGTGCCCCAGAACCTTTTCATGAGCAACACATTTCACTTGCGTCTCTTCTTCCTTCCCACCCACAGCTCCTGCGGCCACCACACCACCTCCATCAGGTATTGCTCTTCTGTGTCTCTTCTCACCTTTCTAATTTGTGGGCTGTCTCCCTTTAGCACATTTTCTTTTTTATTTTCCTTTTACTTCTGTGACAGTATCACTTTAAACTTGTGTGATGATTCCTAGACAGGCTGTGATGTCCCCTTCCCTTTCAATGATGCTTATTTTGCAACCTTGCTGATTGGCTGTGTCCAGCCATTTCCTTGCTGGGCAATTCAGCTGGGTCAAGGCCTAGGAAATACTGTCTAAATCTCCAATTTCTAACTGCATTCATCAGCATTGGGAGAATAGTGTTCAAGTATGGCAATGTGCAATCTAAGGCAATTCTGCTTGCTAGAGCTGTTATGGTCTTTTTTTTGCCTTAGAAAGCAGATTTTAGACTTAGAGCTTGACCATTCACAGTTGAAAATAATATGAAAGTGAATTTTGCTAGAGCCTGTCCAGTTTGATCAGAGGAAGAGTCACTGTCTGGGTACAGCTGATGCTCCCAAGCTTGGAATAGCCTGTGAATCCCAATATCCTGAGGCAGGGAGGCATGTATTGTACTGATGGGTGTCTCTGTGCAGGACTATGAAATGGATTGTCACCTCTACATGTCTCATCTTGTAGCATTTAAGTTCAAAGCTTAAGTTCACCTCCCTACAGAAGAGCTTTTAGGATTATCTGTGTGTTTAACAAGAATTATGTAATTCATGCTGGCAGGAACACAAAAGCTTTTTGCAGCTATGTTTATAGGAGAAATGAGTTATATTTAAGACTTTCCCCAGCAGCCTGGAGTGCTTATTTCAGTCTAAGACCATAAAATTATGGAGTTTCCTAGAAGACTTGCAACTTATTTACCCTCTAAAGTCCTTAGGGGAATAAAGAGAAGCAGCAGAATAACTGAGGAGAGGGTGTTTGTTGAGGAAGGTACTTCCATTTAGACTGCCATGACACCTCCCAGAATCAGACCTTGACTGTAAAAAGGAGAACAGACCAGAGCAGAAAGCATCAAGATGTTTCCAGCCCATCCTGAAGAGGGTAGTATGACACCGCAGATGTGACAGGGAATTCCAAATCCAACACGAAAGTAAAGCTAAAGCAAAAAACAAATATTGGTTTTGATTTGGCTCACACAGAATATCACCCACAGTCAGCAGGGGACCTGCTTTTCCACAGCTACAGATGAGATGTGCAGCTCAAAAGCACTTTTGCAGATGTTACTGTAAGTAAATCCTCTTCCATTTCTTTCTGCAGCACCTGATTTTTGTGGTGGCTCAATCTCAGATTCCTCTGGGGTGCTGCAGAGTCCCCACTACCCTGGAAGTTATCCCAACAACGCTGACTGCGAGTGGCAAATCCAAGTCGAGAGCAATTTCCGTGTTACACTCACATTCAGAGATATTGCGTAAGTAAAACACTGCACAAATAGCAAAGCCAGAACTTACTTGAGAGGTTTGAAAACTTATCTAAAACAGGTAACCTTACCAATTTTAAAGATACTTTCAATAACATCTGGCAGTTGGAAGACCAGATCAAAATCTAGATTGCTGTGGTATTTTTTGCTCACAATTTTCTGCTACAGCTACATACAAACCAAATGAAACCTCTCCTGAAGGATTTTATCCCATGTTAGGCAGTGAAATCAGAGTTTCTGGAATGGATTTAACAAGGTGCTCGTGTTTATTCACCAGGATGCAAAGCAGCTCATGCCAGCACGACTACATTGAAGTCTATGACGGGCCTCGACACTCTTCCCCACTTCTTGGGAGACTTTGCTCTGGTTCCTTCCCCACATATGTGTCCTCTTCGAACATGATGACCGTTTGCTTTCATAGTGACTCTGGATACTCCTTCAGAGGCTTTCAGGCTCACTACTCCTCCATCCCAGCAGATCACAACACCAGTAAGTCCTCAGCTGGTGTTTCTCAACAGACAAGCTTATTTATTGCTTTTGTTTGCAAAATAAGTATTAGTGTAAATTTAAAGACATTTGTGGAAATTGAATGGTGTGCGTGAAAC